GAAAAGGTTTAGGTCATTTTATGTCACAATTATTGTCATCAAAATAATTGTGATAATTAATAAAAACTCAAAAATTAAAATGGTACAAAAAGCAACCAGACTCGCTGGGTCAGGAAATAAATACAGGGACCCTACATTGGCATGCAAGTCACTCATGAGGATATTTACAATCATCCATAAGTTGAACTCCAACTCTTTAAATACATTTTAGAGTTTTACTGACCTCTAATCTGTTGTAATTTACTTAACTCTCAAATCTTTGAGTCAAAAAACAGCAATCATTCATCATTTGGATGCTTGAAAATGTAATAATTACAACTGAAAATATTAAATTATATCAATCATCATATCAGTCGACGCCTGTGAGCTACTTCAGGCAGTTAAATCTGACTTCTACACACACGACATGCAACATTTCCCAGCTCTCCCTCTCCATCAGCCTGCCTGTCATTCTGGGAGTTATACGGCTGTAATAAACATTTCAAACCTGAGTTGTTTGACTCAAATTGATTAAATTATTAAATACAGGTTTGTTTTTCAGTATTTTTCTGGGCTCTTAATGCTTTTAATTGATAGTGACAGCTGAAGAGTGACAGGAAAGGGGTGAGAGAGAGACAAACACGTAGCACACGGGACGCCATTTCTATCAAACGAGCCATTCGGGCCCCGAAATACAGATATTGCTGTTTGTAGAACATAAAGAAAATAAAGAGTTTGTCTCACTCTTTCCAATTGTTCTGTCATTTTGTTGTTAAAAGTTTGACGAGCCATAAAAAGCTCTTTCTGTTGGACGTGAGGGTGAAAGAGGACCAGCCTCCACCCTGTTATCAACACAAAGTAGGAAGCTTTTCTAACTGCAGTCTTCACATTGTGTTCTGTGGCTAATAACAAATAGTATCTCAACTCTCTCTGCCCTCTCCCCCATCTCCCCTGTACGACTGCATTCGATACCCCACAGAGGAAGAGAGGCGCTAAAAGCATGCAAGTGTCCAGTTAACCGTTTATTTTTAAAGACGTCCTCGCAACCTGATAGTGGAGACGGGGCGCAGGGGAGTTGGTTGTCGTGTCTGGATATTTATTTTTACCACCGAGCAGCAGCTATAGTCTCAGACTGCTGAGGTCACCACTGAGTGTAGCTGAGGATAATACACATAAACACACAACTGTACAGTACGTAATGCATAAATATGTGTTTTCTGCTCTGATATTCTGTTGATCATCAACCTTTAGATTGATCAGAGGGGTCACAGGGTTGGTGACCACCGATTTATTCATGTTTCACTAAAGACAAACAGAGTTGAAGCTCGTATGAAAGACATCATGGAACATTTATGGTGTGACAGTTAACTGAATATATTTATTTGAGGACGTTAGCTTCGACTTTGGGAACATTTTATGCACCAACAACTAATTGATTAATCTAGAAAATGATTGACAGATTCATTGATAATGTTATGTGAAGTAACTTTTTGCAGCAGCAGTGAGCAATGTTCATTTGGTCTGTGTACATTTGTATGAATGATAGCCTACAATAACTAAAAATCACCATTATCAAATGTTACAGTAATAATAATAATAATAGAGTTTCGACATAATAAATAACTACAGTACTCGCTTTATGCTGCCTTTTACAACCCTGGCTCAAGGGAAGGAACATTTGGGGGCTCGCCTGGGATCCAATCGCATAGGTTTGGTTATTCTCTGATGTTTTGGTAGCTTTCTGCTATGTTTGGTTTTCTAGTGTTGATTTTGATCGATTAATCATTTGTTTGTTAAGAAAGATGCCCGAATTGTCCGATTTCAACTGAAATGTGAATATTTTTGATAATGAAAATAATCGTTAGCTGTAGCCGTAGTTCGTAACTAGTGTGCTGTTGTTACAGTTCCTTTACTTTTGGGTTGTTCTGCAGAACATTGCCTAATTTCTTCTAATTTCTTCTCCTTTTTTTCCCCAAGAAAATCATCCGATTATATCAAAACACAGTGGACAACAAGACTTTAGTGAATCAGTGATCAGTTTAGTAGTAACACTTGATTATCACGATATATCGCAGTATATATATTGAACCGTAACTTCTTTATATTGTGAAACGCACAGATTCTTGCCAATAGCAGCCACAGTGTTGAGGGTTAACACTGTTGTGTGTTCAGGCTCTCTATTCAGGACATTAGCTTTGTATTTAGTCAGAAACTGGCTCTATTAGTCTGATGAGTACACCCGGTTAATTAACCCTGGTTTTGTCAAGCAAATGCAACATTAAGCCAATTATAAAAAGGTTTGTTTTTGAACACGCTGCTCATTTCTTTGCTCCCGTTGGAGTCAGGACTAATACTCTGTGACTTCCACTGTTGGACCAACATCAGAGGATTGGGGTCAGTGCGGTTCCTTTGGCAAAAAAACATCCTTACATGTCCAAATAAATGCTGTATTTTTCTGTAATAGTTTAGTGCATGTCAGCCCCCAAAATAAATGCAAAGCTAAGATCGAGTGTGGCTTTTAATTTCCCTACCCATCCTCCCGCCCACACAGCCTAAATATGATCAACATGTGGGAAAGTCTTCCGGACAATCGTTCCTCCGACGCCATAAATCTCAGCACTCACTGGTTAAGTAATTGCAGGGCAGTAAGAGGCTCTGAAAGACCCCAGCCAGTGGGAAGAGAGTCACACAGACATCTTCTTCTTACTGCCTGTTTGGGAACAAAGGTGTCGCCATGGCGCTCGGTGAACTAGTTTCAGACACACAAACAACCCTCCACAGGTCTCCCCCCAGCCGGCCCCAGCTTCCTCGGGCTAAAATCATTTAGCCGTGGGCGATGTTAGTGGTCTGCACCAGAGCGGGACACACACACAAAAACAAAGTTCTTTGCGGTAACTCGCCATGTCGAGCATGTCTAACAGCATCTCTTAGTGGTGCTGCTTTGATGTTTTGGGCCAATCAGGAGGCGCCTGGCAAGCCTGACATTGCGGCTCTTTCTAACATTCATCTCAAACATTTCCTTCTGATGAGGAAACAGAAAACTTTTCTTTCTCCTCTTTCTGTCTCTCACCCTCTCTCTTGCACTCTACCTATCCCAAATGTCCTCTCTCAACAATCTCCCCCGTCTGTGTCCGAGTAATCAGTACCGGGGGGGTGGAGGGTGTTTTGTAGGTGTAATGAAAGCTTTCTGAGGAGAAGATTTCTCCCTCATTCTCTTGCATTGAAGGCAGCACAGACAGCTCCTGTGAGCTCTCTCGTAGCGACACTCCCCTGCCATCGCCAGCCCTATTGTCACGCGATAAACAGACTGTGTTTCTGATGAGGCGAGTGAGTGAGTGGAGAAGTTGTGGAGATTTCAGAGGGAAGGTGTGGCGTACCTCTGGAGGATCAGGGGGGTGTTTTGGAAAGAGAAAGCTGTGGCAGTGCTCGCTATCCAAATGCAATTCTTACAGAGTTCAGCAGTGTCTCTGTGTGGTATTTTGAAGAGACTTTTTTTACCATTTTTATCCGTTTTTCATCCAGTTAAATTTCGCACCAAATATGTTTTACAAAAACCCCCGAACTGCTGCAACACTGCTGGTGGAGGGAGAGGTTGTGGAGATTTCATAGGGAAGGTGTGGCGCACCTTAAGCCTCTGGAAGACGGGGGGAGGAAGTGGAGGTAGACCAGACAATAAGGAAAGACATCCAAGAGAGACAGAGAGACGCTATGAAAGAATAAGCATTAAAGAGGAACAGATGACAACAGTGAAGAAGCAATAAGGGGGAAAGGGGAAATAGGAGGGATGTTGCCCCCGGCGATGCAGTTGAAGGTAGCCTACATGAAAGGGATGGAGTTTATCCTTGGCAGCCATCTTGGACTACTTTCCTGAATGCTTGGTAAAACTTTTATTGCTCCAAAAATGTTGTGGAAATAATTCCAAGGTGGCATCAATAAGAAATAAAAATCTTGACTTTCACAAAGAAAATTCTTGTACTCTTGCTTCCTCACTCTCTGGATGAGAGTTTTCACAGCGGGGGGGAACTACACAGTGGCGCTCGTGATTAAAAACAAAGTTTTGTCCAAAGGTGATGCACTGGCAAGGGCGAGGTAGCAACAACAAAGAGTCTTTTTTAAGTTGGTCAAAAGCTACCTGGGAGGCCTTGTGTTGTTGTTGCCGGGGAATTCCTGCAGTGATTTCACTCTCTCCAGCGGGCATCTGCTACAGGGCAAAATGGAGTCACAGTGGGGGTCTTCTCTCTTTCTCTTTCTTATGCTTTCCGTCCATCTCTTTCTCTCTGACGATAAACCCTCGGGGGAAATCAGTTGTGTCGTACACACACACACACTCTCCGGCGCAGGAGGGGATCCTCTACTCGATGAAAGAGCTGTATGAATAACAAACCCCTGAGTTCACAATGGACACAGCAGCACTCACTCTCCCTCTCTCAGCTCTTTCTTCACCCCCCCCCATCACACACACCTACACACACACTCAGTTTGACCCCGCTCACAATGGAGAAGGCATGCATTCATTAGCGCTTCCAAGAGGGCTTTGACTGGTTCGGCATTGTTGGCTAATCCAAGGTCCCACCGTATATCACCTTCACTCTCCCCCCCTCCGTCTATCCATCTCTCTCTCTCTCTCTCTCCATCACATCTCTTTCACTTTTTCATCCTCTGGTCTGAAGGCACCGAATAACCCGCCAATGAGCAGTTTATAGAAAGGACTTTGTGAGAGGAGAGAGGGTGAAAGTGAGAGCCAGAGAATTGTTGTAAGAACTAATCAGATTACTCCACAGCATTGATGATATTATCCCCCTCCTCCCGTTCGTGATGGATTCCTATCGACAATGAGATTTGCGTGGCGCGAATCAGTTTAAGGGGCTGAACTTATCAAGAGGATTGACTTTTGATTCAGTGCGAGACGCTTTAAGTTGAGGTGTTTAGGTTGTGACGAGACCGAGCATTGAGTGGTTAGAAGAAACGACTCCCCCCTCCTCTAACTGTGTCTTTTCTCTCTCTTGTCTTTCTCCTCACAGATCTCGAAGGTGCACAATGGGACTCCTAAACCTCTGAGGGGGCTGAGCACAAGACGCAGAGGGGAAGAGGAAGAAGAATAAAGCCGAGGGAGGGGGAAGAAGAGGACAAAAGAGGAGGAGGAGGAGGTGGAAGAGAAGAAGGAGGGCGAAGAGTGGACGGAGAGGGAGGGAGATTTGAAAGGAGGGATTTGCTCTGTCTGTCGGGGGTGCATGCTCCCGCCTAAGTCCCCCCCTCCCACTCGGACATCCTCCTTTTTAGTTTTTTTTCTGCATCAAGTGAAAGGACCGACAAAAGACGAAGAATGCAAAGTTTGGGAAGCCTCGTGGCGAGCAGGGGCCTCGATGTGAGACTACCCAGGACTAGAGCCTTGCTGCTGGGCTTGCTCCTCGCCGTAGCCTGCGCGGAGGTGGAGATCGACATGGTGTTGATAGAGGAGGGTGGAGAAGGCGAGCTGGGTGGGCAGAGGAAGCGAGCTGGAGGCCTCCATGCACTCCTCGTTCCTTCAGGACTTCCAGGAAGGTATCCGGGCCGTGGAGGCCGTTGGTGAGGCCGCGGCGACTCAGCAGAACGCGGCCTCGCCCACCGCCTTCCCGGACTCCTCGGCGGTGGTCGGTCGGATCTTCCACATGAAGGTGCCAAACAAGATGGAGGATGTTTACCTGGGGGACATTGTCAAGGTGAGTCGCAGCATCACCAGTTTGTTCATTGAGCACTTATTTTAGGTTTTATTCCATATTTCAATATAAATACACGTTTTTACTATTTAACTTCTTTAGAGTTTGCAGTGTTTTACTGTTGGACAGTTTTTCAGTGTAAATATACAGTGTGTAGTTAACTAAAGTCAGTATTTTCCACAATAACTTGTGTTTTGCTGAAACTGGTTCCTTATTGATTGGGCTGTATGTTACTTTATATTTGGGCTCAGTTAAGGTCTAACATTAGTGTTTCTGGAGGCTGTAGCCGGCTCAGCTGTAGCCAGAAGAAGATACTGGTATCATATGAAATAGGGATGGGGCCGATCCGATCCAGTATCGGTATCGGGACTGATACGAGCGTAATTCTCATATCGGAATTTCCCGATCCAACCTGCGGAGATATCCGATATCCATGAGCCATGTCTGCGTTAACATTGTCTGCTGAAATGACTCCACAGGTGATTCCTGCCAACCAGTCTGCTAGCTGGCTGCAAACTGTGGAATGGATTTCCTGAACGGAGGTACGGCTCAATGAGACACAGAGTTATGAGACACGCCCCCGCTCAGGAAATCCATTCCTCAGTTTGCAGCCAGCTAGGAGGATAGCATTGAGCAGCATTGTGGCTAGCCAACATGTCCGCTGTGTGGAAATACTTTACACTGGAAACACCACCGAGCAAGACAGCAAAATGCAATGTTTGCAAAGAATTCAGTTCAGAGACGGAACTTTTCTTATATTTCAAGACTAAAACAAATATTTAAAAAGCAACAAAAAAAAATTTTTAGGCGAATTGTAATAAATACTTCTGGAGTCATGCCAGAAACAAGGTGAAAGGACCACTTACATGTGTGTATATTTGTTTGTGTGTATGGGTTTGTTCGTGGTGTGTGTGTAAGATGTTACCAGGATTTCCTGTTTTTCTGACTTCCTTTTCTGACCTTATAATTACCTCAAGTTTCCTTTTGGGACATACATGCATACATACGTACATATCATACTTGCCTGTTGAGAGGAGTTTATTTCAGCCTCATATAAAATCAACAATAATGATAATAATAATATTAAAGCAAACACAGCTCTGGTATCGAGTATCGATATCGGCCGATATCCAAATTCAGGTATCGGGATCGGATCGGAAGTGAAAAAACGTGGATCGGTGCATCCCTAATATGAAACTATACAACCTAAGGCATCCATTGGTACCAACCATGTCATGCTAGCTTGTCAGGAAGGAGGTTAAAAGGAGGTTAAACACAGCTCCAAAGTTAGGCTACATTTTGGTGATGGAAGAACTGGACATTGTATTTGAATATTTCTGCATACGGGAGTCCCTAAACAGTGTTGGAATTGTATAAATTGGATATGACTGGAAAGCTGAGACGCGTGTAGTTGTATTCATGTGTGATGATGTTAGTCCCCATAGTCGCCATTTCATTGAGCTTGAGACCGTTTCTTGTATAAAATGAGCTATTGTGACCTTGAGCCATCACAGCCGGATGAGACTGAGCCACAGACTACCGATGGAGAGACGGATGGCTGTCAGAGCTTTATGGATCATTATTGTAGTTCTTGCAGAATTTAGCTGTTTTAATGTGAGATTTTTTTAACCATTTTTACTAAAATTGTTTTAAATTTAGGCCCGTTGGTTGGGAGCCAGCTCTAAACCTTCAGTATTTGAATCAGTGCCTCAACACAACAGATTTCCACAGCTTTTAGATAATGTATAACTGTTATAAAAAGTACAGAAATATGTTTACTATAAGGAGGGGGAGTAGAAGAAACCCAGTAGACTTATTAGTAGGGTTATTGTAGTATTATATTCAACTATGTTTTAAAGCAAACCCCAAACAGATATTTGGGGTTTGCTGTAAAACATGAGACTTTCCATCAGGTCAAAACTACATTTTGAAGCTCTTCTGAAGTTAAAGCTGTTTGTAGAGGAGCCAACGTCTCCCTGACTCCAAACACAACATCAGTACCTTTTGGGCGGGTCGGTGCAGATGTGACGAAGAAGCAGTAAGAGGGGGATGAAGGAGCACTGGGGGGGCGTTGGGGGTTGCTGCAGCCTCCCTCAGTGTGCTGACTCCAGATGAACTCCAAGAACAATCAAAACAGAGCCATTCCCCTAAAAAATATGTCACTGAAATGATGCAAACGTGTGCCATTGCTCACAACCTGCCCCGGGGCGACGCACATCTGAGGCCATTCACGGCAATATGCCCTTTTTTAATTGCACCGCATTTTCCACGATGGCCAATTCTCTGTAATATATGTCGCCTCCTTTCTGAGTTGGAGGCTTTAGTAGCTTTGCCCTCCCTCTCTTCTTACCCTCTCTGCTTCTGCTGTTTCTCCTCCTCAGCCTAATCCCCAACCCCATTCATCCTCCTTTCTCTCCTCATAATGTCACTTATCTTCCTCTCCTCCCTCCTTTCTCTCAGACTTTACCTCCAGCTGTAACACATTTAACTCACCTTCCTCCTCCTCTGTTGCAGACTCTCTGTCTACATGCTATACTTTCACACCCAATGTTATCTCTTTTCCTTCCTCTCCTCCCTTCATCCCTCTCTCTCTCACTCCTCCAGGCTAAAACCTTTAATATTTTACCCTCCCTTCCTTCCTGTCCTCCATCTCCACCTCGCTATCTATCCATCCTGCCGTTCACTTTTAAAATCTTCTTCTTCTTCCCTTCCTTCATCTCCCTCCATCTCTCTCTTCCTCTGCCTCCATCCCTCTTTAGCTTTTAAGTCCTGTCTCTCCCTCCACTCCCTCCCCCCTTCTCTTCCACCTCCCCCCCTCCTGTCAGATCACATCAGATAATATCAATCAAGCTCCCCCGGTGATGAGCAGCGTGAAGATATTCTCGTGCTTTTAACCTCCCCAATAAACCCGTCTCATTGACGCACAGTCCGACTGTACGGAGGCGCTCGCAGAAGAGTCCAATATGCATTAAAATAAAAGAAGAAGGAATGAATCGAAAAGATTTAAGGATGTCTGAAAGTGTTATTTGGTTTATTTCCAAGTTGAATTTTTTGGTAAGAATCACTGTTTTTAATGCAGTTTACAGACGAGTGAACGAGGATTGGACTCAACTGGCGCCGTGTGTGACCCGTCTGCTCATTTAAAGGGATATGATGCGTATTTTATGTGACAGCTGATGTAAAACCCATCGGCTGCTCCGCTCATCTGAGCTCGTTGTGCTCGTTCGTTTTTAGAGATGTCGATACTTTAACTCAGTGGTTCCCAAGCTGGGGGTCGGGACCCCCACTAGGGGTCGCCAAAGCTTCACAGGGTCGAGAGGGCTTCTTGATTTTAACTAGAAAACCTTAAACCTAACACAATATCTTTATCATTAGTCACTTTTATCCCATCGATACTTTATTAAATGTGTTCTGTACTTATTATGATTTTAATATTTCAGTTAGTTGTGCAGCTCTAAAACATAAATATAAATATTATAATTAATTTCTGACTATAGATAATCCTAAATGTTTCACACATGGACCTTTAATTACAAACATATCAGTTTAAAATTGCATTATTACATATTTATAATTCATAAAACCAACAGACTAACTCCTCCTGCTCTTACCTCACCTCCTCCTCTTCCTCCTCCTTTCTTTATTATTAATCCCGCCACTCATCCTCCTCTCACCCATCTCCTCCTCCTCTCCTCCCCCCCTCCGTTTGTCCCACGGGCTGAAGCTGTTCTTCCAAACCTGATTATATCTGTCACACTGTACGCTGGAGGCCTCCTATTAGAGCCAATCGGAGTTGACAGCGTGGGCAAAAGAAGCCAAAAAAGAAAATGGACGAAGTGGAAGGAAGGATGAAGAGAGAGGAGGAGGAGGGATAGAGGACAGACTGGAGGTGGTTTTCTGAGAGGGATGAAGAAAACAGAAGATCATGACCTCAGACGCATTGCGATCACCTTTCAGGAAAATCTACTTTCAGTGAAATAAAAGGTCAAAGACTGGATCCCGACAACGCGATCCAGCCGACTGTCAGCGCCGTTTCTACAACTTCAGAGAGTTTGTTTACTCCCTGCATCCATTTCTACACTGTACAAAAACAACTGTAAAAAACAGCAGCTGGAGCACCAAAAAATACTGTAAAATAACAGAAAAATACTGTAATTTTACACTAAATCTTGTGTAATTTTTAATAATTACACATGTAAAAACAATGAAATTACAGTTACAGATTTTTCAAGTTAAGTAATTTAATTAAAAGAAACTCATAAACGTACAGATAGTTTTTTACAGTGTAGTTAAAAATCCCCTCCACTGCTGCTCTTTCCCCCCCCCAGGTATTTGGAAGGTCGCATTCAAGGTTGCGGAGCGAAAGGCCAAATCAATTTCTGCGCTCGCCGTTGGACTCATACTGACGGCCTTTTCTTATGAAAATCTGCCAGAGTTTTGAGAGGTCTCAGGCTCGGTGACAGCACGCCCGCCCGCCTGTTCACCTTTCACTGAGACCCCCCCTCGGTCAGTGAATGCGCCGCAGATTATCCATTCACACGGTGTACAGCTGTGGAGTCTCAGCCGGGTGGGCCGGACGTCAGCCTCAGAGGAGGAGAGGTTTTAAAGAGGTCACAGTGGGTGAAACCTGGAGAAGTACAGACACATTCTGGTCACTGATACACTGGATCATATTAAACACATGGATAACCCTAACCCTGTAACATAATGTCTTTATTAAACTGTTTATAAACAAACCCCAACATGTGTTTGATACCGAGCAAAATCTGTCCGTGGCTACATCAAACATCAATAACTAATTAGTCTTTTTACAGATATTATAAAATATATAATATACATATAAAATGACATTTATTTACAGGCCGGTCCAACATGGTGTCTGTATATATATGTATGTCTGAAATGGCCCCCAGCTGAGTACCGAGGTCTCATTAAGGGGTCATTATTTCTGCTGTGAAGCTTTGAGCCACACGTGCTTTAAAAGTGATCAATAAAATCTTAAA